TCTAAATGTTACGTTTTGGGTCTTGAGTTGATTATTGAAAACATTTAATTTATGTGTTTTATGTTCTGAGTTACCGTTACTGTACTTCCGAACCCTACAGAAAGCAGATCACAATCCCTATAGAATTTCTAGAAATAAATACATATGCAAGTAAGTTTTTATTATGTGTTGGGACAATACCATTTTACTGTCCTGTATTGCTTTTGTTTGTTGGTTTTTTTTTAACAAAGTCGGATGGCGAAGAGTTTTAATCAGCTCTCAGAAAATTGTTAAATTCTACATATCAAACTAGAAGAATACAGAATGAAAGCTAGCTTTGGCCAGACGAACTTTATATATCCTTGCAGATTATTCCTATTAAATTAAAAATGTTGTATTTATAATAATGAAATGTTCGGCTATAATGAAATTAAAAATTGATATCAGAAGTTTAACGAAATGTTAAATTGAGATATTTTTTCCACTTAGTTTCTCATTTTTTTACGGTTTTTCCTCATAAAAAAATACTTTCATGTAAATTTTGTTTGTCTAATTTTTCTCTTAATTTTCCGATCGTTTGGGTGACAGTTGTATTATAAAGTCGTCAGATTTTTTTCAAAATTAAATTTAAAAATATTTAAAAAATAATATCCCTAAAAGTAAAAGATAATATGTCAGAAACAACGAAGCAATAATTTTGTTATAATATATTTTCATTATTTTTCCAAACATTTTGATCCGGCTGGTTTAATAATTTTATTAATATTTATTTTCATTATTTTTCGATTACCTGCAATATAAAGTAGGCTTTTGGATATGAACGATCGGAGAGTTTAAATTCTTTAATACTTCTGAATTTCGAAATTAATTTAAGAAAAATCAGGCAATATTATTTAATAGCTGCGATAGGAACGATCGAAAAATGAGGGGAACAAAATTAAGCATCTGTTTTTATACCCTTGCAGAGGGTATTATGATTTCAGTCAGAAGTTTGCAACGCAGTGAAGGAGACGTTTCCGACCCTATAAAGTATATATATTCTTGATCAGCATCACAAGACGAGTCGATCTAGCCATGTCCGTCTGTCCGTCTGTCCGTCTGTCCGTCCGTCTGTCCGTCTGTCTGTTTCTACGCAAACTAGTCTCTCAGTTTTAAGGCTATCGGCTTGAAACTTTCCCAAAAGTCTTCTTTCTATTGCTGGTAGTATATAAGTCGGAACCAACCGGATCGGACAGCTATATCTTATAGCTCCCATAGGAAGGAAACGTTAAAAAAATTCTAGCTTCGGTGTTTTTTGAAATAAAACCTTCTACTCTTGGAAATATTATTTTTTTTAAATATTTCCGAATTTCAAAAAAAATATTTAAAACATCGGACGACTATATCATAAAAAAATTAATGGGAAAGTAATAAGAAATAAATTTTAGCTTTTTTGGTTTTTATTGTATTCTCTTCTACTTTAGGACATGACTCTTTTTAAATATTTCCGAATATCAATTTAAATTTTATCAAAATCGGACTACTATATCATATAGCTGCCATAGGAACGATCGGAAAATTAATGGAAAAGTAATAGGAAATAAATTCTAGCTTCTTTGGTTTTTATTGTATTATCTTCTACTCTAGGATATGACTCTTTTTAAATGTTTCCGAATTTCTATTTTAATTTGATCAAAATCGGACGACTATATCATATAGCTGCCATAGGAACGATCGGAAAATTAATGAGAAATATAAGAAAATTGAACATTTTTGCGATTTGTTAATTAATAGGAATGATCTGCAAGGGTATATAAGCTTCGGCTGGCCGAAGCTAGCTTCCTTTCTTGTTTGTATTACCTTCTACTCTTTGGAATATGATTTATTAAATTCTTTGAATTTAGAATGGAAAAGATCGGGAAATTAATGGAAAATGAATAAAAACTAAATTATCGGTTCGTTTATCTTTATTATATTGTCTTCTATAAAGATCGTAAGGTAATGTCAAAATAATACGAAAAACTACTTACTGCCGCCTGGGCTTTAAACGGTTCTGCGATAAACAGCAATGCCCTATCGTATGAAACAAAATTATGACGTTATTCTAATATGAAATTTTTTGTTATGGACGCCTTTTTGTTACGTTGAATACCAGCCCTTAGCTTGAAAATAACAACACAAGCAACTATTTTTTCAAGTGTCAAACAAGTTTGGGAAAAAGTCTAAAAGTTGACACATTTTGACAAATCAATAAAGCTTTTCCCAATAGAACACCTAAACACCTTTTTAAAGTACGACTCACATTTCCCCTAAATTCAAATAAATGTCCCATTTTTTATGGGTTTACAGAGGGTTTTTACCAACGACCGTAAATAATCATTATTTGAGATTTACAACAATTTAACTGGTTTTCATGCACTTTATAGACATGACCAAATAACAGTTAATTTGCTTTCCAGATTTCTTGAAATGCATATACTTTGTGGACAAGAGTAAAAAGAACGTTATTTTTGACGTTTAAAACAAAATTTCACAGTAATCTTTTTAAAATAAAAATCTCAAATAATGATTATTTACGGTCCGTGGTTTTCACAGACGCTTTAGAATAAAAGCATTGCTCATAGTTCACAACAATCGTGGTACACATCGAAAAGGCATAATCAATTGTCCAACGATTAGCTTTTGTGAATGTTAAAAATAATTATGTTAATAAGTATCGATATTTAAACCAACGATACATGCCTTAAGCAATTAATCATTTATTAAAAAAATGTTGAAATATATATATACATATTTATATTTGAATAATTCACTAGCTTACAAAATGGTTTTTTGAAAATACATCAAAAAGGATGATGGTAGTTCCAGGTAGAGTTTGACCCCTATATCACAAAAAATAAATCAACATTTTTTTAAAGAAATTTTTGTTGGTATGTCAGTATTTCCGAATTTAAAAATTTCTTCTATATTTCGATAGGTGGCTAATGAGCAGCAGAGTCGGAAACGCTTCCTTTCCTATATTTAAGTAAAGCTTTCTTGATTTAAGAAAACATTTTCTTGGGTTAAGTAATATTTCCTTGACTTTAGAAATAAGTTTCTTGTATTCAAAAAAAAAAAAAAGAGAGAGGTGCCCCGACTATCAGTTACTCAGATTAAGGGAGTGCGAGGGAGATAAAAATATAAAACTTGGATCGCGCATAACTTTTTAACGAATAGTCCCATTCTAGTCTTCTATAATTTGATAGGTGTTGATAAACACAATAAAACTGCACTTTTACTTTTTTAAAATCTAAAAAGGCGTGGGCGCCAGATACCTTTAAAAAAAGGGGAGTGGCGCACGGCTGAAACAAACTTGCGCTGCGTAGGAAGCCAAAGAATATGTGTGGGTAATCCCAACTTTCTAGCTTTTGTAGTTTCCAAGATCTCAGGGTTCATACGGACGGACAGACAGACGAACAGACAGACGGACATGGCTAGATCGACACGACTAGTGACCCTGATCAAGAATATATATACTATATAGGGCCGGAAATGCTTCCTTCTAGCTGCTACATACTTTTTCAGAAATACAATACACACTTTAACTTTACGAGTAACGGGTATATTTAACTAAAATATCGATTTTCTTAAATTTGGGATTAAAGAAAATATTTGAGAAAATAACCCAAAAATAAAAGGAAAACAAGAAAGGAAGCTAACTTCGAGAAAGAACGAAGGGCATGTTTTTTTTCGGTTGTTCTTGGGAGTAGAGCATTAGGAAAAAGCATGCTTTGCTTTTGGGTAAAACAATAGAAGCCGGGCTTAAGCCAGATTTAAGCTGTGACACTCGTGTACCATTTCACAGTGCAACATGAAAAATGTAACCGCAATTCTGATTTCATGGGCGGAAAGAACTCATCGAAATAAGCTAAAACCCATTCGGGTTTCTCTGGCTTAGCTCGCGTTTACCTTTTATAGCGAGTTAAAGTTTTACATACAAAATTTATTTGTAACGGCCATATCTTGTGAACCGATTAAAATTTCACTATCAAGTCTTCAGAGACTATGTAGCTATGAACCCAAGGAACTAAATTGACAAATGACTCTTGCGCACTTAGCACCTTGTGCTTGTGTACGTCTTCGCAAGAGTCATTTGTCCATTTAGTTCCTTGGGTTCATAGCTACATAATCACTGAAGACTTGATAGTGAAATTTTAATCGGTTCACAAGATATGGCCGTTACAAATAAATTTTGTATGTAAAACTTTAACTCGCTATAATAGGTAAACGCGAGCTAAGCCAGAGAAACCCAAATGGGTTTTAGCTTATTTCGATGAGTTCTTTCCGCCCATGAAATCAGAATTGCAGTTACATTTTATAACCCTAAAAATGTTGCACAGTGTTTTTACCAAAAAAGTTTTTAGCCACTTTTTTTAAAATTGCATAAAAAATAAATAACAGGCTTAAATATATTTGGTAAAATGCTTAAAACATGGGAAATTAAATGCTTAACAAATATTAAACATATCAGACTATTTTGACAGTCAGAAATAAAGTTATACATTTTGTGTAAGTTGGGACTCTTTGAGCGTGTAAGTTGAGACACCCGTTTTCAAAAAGGCCTCAGCCCGACAGAGGGAAATGTGATCGTTCAAAGAGCCTTTTGATTTTAATTGCTATTTAATCTAAGTTAATTAAAAATGGACGGGAAACGATAACCAACTAAATTGATTAAATTAACATAAATAAATAGTTTCTAAAATTTTGAAGTACATTTAGTGTGAGTTTTATTGACTTTTAAAATGCCCATGGGCGTGCACCTTTTAATAAAGTCAATTTTCTTGAGCTGTGTTATTTATACACAAGTACAACATATTTGTATACACTGGCTGGGGTGTTGTAAGCCTAGAAAACTATTTTATATGAATATTGTTGTTGGAACTTCAAGCAATTGCAATGCAATTGAATACCCTAACTAAGCCTTAGTGTTGATGTCAACAGCTGATCGGCGTTTCGTTGTAATTGTTTTTATTATCAGCTGCTCTATTCCACATATGTACATACGAACATGTATTTACATTTTATTTTCTAAGTGTTACGTTTTGGGTCTTGAGTTGATTATTGAAAACATTTAATTTATGTGTTTTATGTTCTGAGTTACCGTTACTGTACTCCCGAACTCTACAGAAAGCAGATCACAATCCCTATAGAATTTCTAGAAATAAATACACATGCAAGTAAGTTTTTATTATGTGTTGGGACAATACCATTTTACTGTCCTGTATTGCTTTTGTTTGTTGGTTTTTTTTTTAACAAAGTCGGATGGCGAAGAGTTTTAATCAGCTCTCAGAAAATTGTTAAATTCTACATATCAAACTAGAAGAATACAGAATGAAAGCTAGCTTTGGCCAGACGAACTTTATATATCCTTGCAGATTATTCCTATTAAATTAAAAATGTTGTATTTATAATAATGAAATGTCCGGCTATAATGAAATTCAAAATTGATATCAGAAGTTTAACGAAATGTTAAATTGAGATTTCTTTTCCACTTAGTTTCTCATTTGTTCATTTGTTCCTCTTAATTTTCCGATCGTTTGGGTGACAGTTGTATTATAAAGTCGTCAGATTTTTTTCAAAATTAAATTTAAAAATATTTTAAAAATAATATCCCAGAAAGTAAAAGATAACACAGGTCAACAAAATTGACTTTATTAAAAGGTGCAGGCCTATGGGCATTAAAATATGTTAATATAGACGTATATAAGCATATCTGCATACTTCGTTTTCGCGTTTAACGGGGTTCGGGAAAAGTCGCCTCTAGATGCCTGTCAAATATTTTACGGCACATATTTTTCCTTGTATTTTTTTAAGACTGTTCACCGCATCAAGTTGGTTGTGAATAGAGGTGAACAAATTGCTTCAATGGCTCATAGGCTTTGACTGATTCAAATTATGATGGAACCTTAAATGCAATTATGTAGAAGGGCATCTAAGCAATTTTTTGGCATAGGTTTTATTACAACTAAGCACAGACCCTCGAGGATATCTTAAATCCAAACAATTAATGTTGCTATTTTTTTCAAACCGCGATTGCACAAATACCACCCGTTAAACGCGAGAACTAAGTATGCAGATATGCTTAAATCCGTCTATATTAACACAATTTAATGCTCATAGGTCTGCACCAAAAACACTGTCGGCCTGTGTAATATGTCAGAAACAACGAAGCAATAATTTTATTATAATATATTTTCATTATTTTTCCAAACATTTTGATCCGGCTGGTTTAATAATTTTATTAATATTTATTTTCATTATTTTTCGATTACCTGCAATATAAAGTAAGCTTTTGGATATGAACGATCGGAGAGTTTAATTTCTTTAATACTTCTGAATTTCGAAATTAATTTAAGAAAAATCAGGCAATATTATTTAATAGTTGCGATAGGAACGATCGAAAAATGAGGGGAACAAAATTATGCATCTGTTTTTTGTATTACCTTCTACTCTTTGGAATATGATTTATTAAATTCTCTGAATTTAGAATAGGAAAGATCGGGAAATTAATGGAAAATGAATAAAAACTAAATTATTGGTTCCTTTATTTTTAATTTATTGTCTTCTACAAAGATCGTAAAGTAATGTCAAAATAATACGAAAACAGCAATAATTTTTTCGCTGTTACAAAACGAAAGTTTTATTGGTTACCACATTTCGCACTTTACTGTCAGTGCGAAAGTTATTTAGTTGGCAAACTGTAAGATAAGACGAGTTAGTCCCCATAGTCCTACATTTTATGAAATGTCAGTATTCAATATTGTGGCTGCAGCTTTCATTTTAGCACTTCCATATTCGAGCAAAGTACGATTGCTGTGGTGTGATATTGGAAATGAGCTCGGCCTACTACTGCAATAAAAATTAAAATTTTAAAGTCTCTCCGCCAGCTGTTATTTGCCTAAAACCTTTTGCAGTGTAACTTCAGATTTTCCGAGTCATTATCCCGCAATTTTGTTGTAAGTTCTTAAAGGGACCTACCTGGTTTTCTTTTCACAGGTCCCCTGGATATGTTAATTACTGAAAGGTTCGCAAAAACAATTTAACAACGGTTAAAATAAGGGAAAACCATAAAATTGACAGCTGTGTCCGCTAAGCCTACCTGATTGGTGTTAGGTGGATTAGGAAAAATATAAGCCTGTCATAAAAATTTGCTCATGGTCTATATTTTACCTGATCCTGCTATATAAACCATCACCAGTGCGCCTCAAAGCCACAGTTACAAACTGAAACGTATAACGTCAACAACCAGCCAAAGAGGTATTATAAAATGGTTCTGAGCAATTCTACGCCAAACAACGTGTCCAAGCACAACGAGATGGTAGTAAACACCGCAGCCATGAAAAGTGAGGATCTCAGCGAGCTCCTGCAGCTAAACGCGGAGATTGACGAGCGACGTCGCTGCAGCAGGATCGGAGATGCCAGAAATGCCTGCGGATTGCTCCGAGCTACAATGACCCGAGAGGAGCTGTTTGAGATTTCCTCGCTAGATGACGATCGCTTTCTCACTGCCCTGGAGCACCAAAATTCGTACTCCACACCGCGTCGAGTTCAGGTTACTGATCTGGACTTGTCCAGTATCGAGAATCTGATGAAGTACTTCGACGAAGATGTACCTGTGACGCCCACCAAAATACTGGGGGCCGCTAAGGCGGCCGCCCCCAAAGGCAAGGTGGCCAGCGTCATTGCTAAGTTGGCCCTCCAGCCGGACACGGTCACCCCGCCTAAACCAAACGTGAGTAGTGGGCACCTGAAAATCAGTGAACTCAAGCAGAAGTACGAACAGTCGGAGATTGATACCCCACAGTTTGGGCACCATAAACAAAGAAAGTCGGCGGCTTCGCTGCCTATGAAAGTGAAGGAAATGGCCCAACTGTTCAACTCAAAAATTAGCCAGGTAATGCGAGGCGTGGAGCCGCATTACGTTCAGCTGCAAAATGAGCTCTCGCCAGAGGCCAAGCCGCAGCACCACTTAGTGTCGGACTCCCAAGTCCAAGGCCCTTGCTTGGTGGCCGAGGAAGTATTCCGCGAACTGAGCGTCAAGGACAAAGCACTTTTGTTTAACAAGTTTATTGGAGACATGGCAACCAAGCATCCCAAGTTCACTGCACACGCTGCGGAAATCAAGGCACAAGTAAATAAGCAGGTGGCCCGCGGCGAGGTGGTGGCGGAGCAACAAGCCAGCGTCAAGTATTTGGCTCAGGAGTTGGAAGCAAAGTGTATCCTGCTGCCGGGATCACCACCTCGACCAGGTGGTGCTTCTCCTTCTAAGACAACTGAGAGAAAAATTGAGACATGTGGAACTCAGCTCCATGTGAGCACACTGACCGTGATTCTGAAGCCTGGACCCAGTACGGAGCGCAGGGATTCGCAGACATTGACCCGTAGTTGCCTTGACCGCCAGATCGGGGACAACAGCCGCGAGCGATCCCAAAAACGAAACCTTTCCGCGATACGCAGAGTCCTGCCAACTGAGGCATATGCGCCGCCCAAGAAGATTCGTCGCACTCAACAGGAGCGCAACGGATACGACAACCAAATGTTTTTTCAAAACGAACCGCTTGAAACCCTGTTCTACAGCTGGCTAAGCACAGAAAATGGCGTGCAGTTCGACATAACTAGTGTATCTAACGGCCAGCAGACCATCGAGATAGCCAGCGAGGAGGAGCAGCCGATTCTAGAGCCGAGTACCGTCACGTTGAAAGATGTAAGCCAAAAGTCCGCTGTCGAGCGCCTCTTGGAGGAGGCTATAGCCAAACTAGAGCTGGAGAATGAGGCAAAGGAGGCAGCTTACATCGAGCAAGACGAGGTGAACATGGTTCAGGATCAGGTCATCCCAGTCACTCCGAGGCGCATCAAGCGCCAGGCTCCTCCAGTGCCTGCTCCCCGTCTGAGTCTGAGTCAGACTCCTTCCAGTGCCTCTAGCTGCAAGCAATCCGAAGGTGAAGAAAGCGAATCCGGGTTGTCTACTCTGCCCAAGGTAAGTGCTGTCTCTAATAGGCGGATGAAAGAATACATTGTCATTATACCTAATTTTCTTTCACAGATTACCAGCGACGAATCTCAGCCCGAGACGCCCAAGGAAGAAGTGCAATCAGGTGGTTTTGATTTTGCAAAGCCTCAGCGCCCACCGCGTAAAAAGAAGATGCGCCGAACTCTGACGTGGAAGAAAGAAAATTCCATAGTCGAGGCCACCGCAATCACCTCAACGGACTCCGATTCGGATTATAAGCCGCCGATTTCAGCACCAGCCAAGAAAAAAACGGGAGCGATTTGTGGCTTCCCACTGCCCGAGCAAAGTTTTATTGAATTGGACAAGTCCTTAATGCGACACGTAAACTCGCCGCGAAAAATCAATGCAGCGTACACTCTGACCGTTATGTCTTCTCCCTCTCCAAATGCAGACAGCGATCAGTCACCTTCTCAGACACCAAGGCAGTCCCTCGGCCAAACAATGCGGGACAGTTTCGTAGATCAAGGCTTTGAGACGTGCTCTAATGATCCCATGGATAGTAGTCCCCTGCGCCGATCATCGGAAGGTACCGCAGAGTCGAAGCCCTCCGGGTTTTCTACACCCGTAAAAATTCGTCACCCTTGCAGCCCTGCGCAACAGCAACTGTTTAGCCCCATACTCGCCCAGGAGCGGCCTCGACGCAGTTCTCTGGCCATGCAGGTGATTCGGGAAGACCACCCTCTCGACCTTGATGCCACATGCACCTCGCCTTCCACAGCTGGCAGTGAGCGTGAGTTCTTTGCCAACGCCCCGACGGTTGAGATTGACAACTCCCAGGATGAGATTCCAGCCAGCAACCCACAGTCAATGTTTTGGGTCACATCAGGGGACTTTACTGTCTCTTTGGAAATCTTCAGGAACAGCCCAGAGCGCCTTCGTCTGCTGTACGAGATATTCACTCAGAAAAGTTGGGAGACTCGTGATCTGGCCTTCGGAATCGACGGTCACAAGTTCACTCGCGGAGGTGCAAGCTCGGAATCCAGTCGACAGTCGCTACCAGAGCGACCGCCTAGTGTTAAGGGCTGCTCCCACTATTGGTTCGCCAGCGGAGACCTTGCTGTGCCCTTCAGCGGCAAGCATATTTCCGGCGAGAAGATTGAGCGGCTATTTGATTTTCTTAACGGGGAGCAGTCGGAGTTACGTTTTGGCGTGGACCACATCGAATTTAGTAGCGGTCCCGAGTTCTGGCCCACAACCCAGAAGTATTCGATCGAGAGCAGCTACAGCATGCTGGTGGGTCTGCAGACGGGCGCCAGCAATGGCTTAGAGGGGCGCAGCAAGTACTCCTGGCCCAACAATAGCAACATAGCCAACCAGGCGATCAAGACTAGTGACTTGGATCAGACGGAGTTTGAAACCGACAGTTTCGGCAACAATAGCGGAAGGCTGTCCTTTTCACCCGACATGTTCTCCCTGGACTACGAACCAGTTCCCTTGGACGAACTCTTCGCGAAGACTCCTTCATGTGCCGCAGCTCCCGTCATGTCTATGCCGCAGATGATGCAGACGTTAAAGGAACAGCAAAACAAACTTCGCAGCGTGGAACAGCGCATCCGATGCTACTCTAAGCCGTCAAATCTGGCGGACGCCTCATTGGAGCACTGCCGCAATACACCACAGTATATCCACAAGCTGCGATCCGTTATCCGGGTAATAGATAACATTGGACGAGATGATGGCTTCCGCGGCTGCTCGATGGAGCAACTCGAGAGTTTCATGTATTTTCTCAGTGAGTATGCGGATGTGTGCCTGGCCAATTGCAGCGAGCACATGGACAAGATACTGGACACACTGTTGGACCGTAGGGCCGTGGAGGTCTGAGCGATGCTGCTTTTATATAAAAATTTGACTCTATTGTAAGCTTTCATTACCAATTAGTTTCTAGACATTAACATATAATGTTAAAAATATTTTGAAGAATACATTCTTAAAAGAAAAGTGTACGATTTTTTAATTCCCTCTTTAAAGTGAGTTGGTAGATACATTGAAGACTCACAATTGACACCCAATTGACGGATGGAGCCATCGCTGTAATCCTCACACTGAAAAAGACCGTGCTTATCGATGTTGATTTCAGTATTTATACCCGTTACTCGTAGAGTAGCGTTTCCGACCCTATAAAGTATATATATTCTTGATCAGGATCACTAGCCGAGTCGATAAAGCCATGTCCGTCTGTCCGTTTGTCTGTCCGTATGAACGCTGAGATTTCGGAAACTACAAAAGCTAGAAGGTTGAGATTTTCCACTCATATTCTTGGGCTTCCTATGCAGTGCAAGTTGGCGCAAACACCTTTAAAGATTTCAGAGAAGTATAAATGCATTTTGGTTCTAATGTAAAAGACATTTTTCAAATCGGAACATTCATAAAAATGTATGCGCAATCAAGAAAATTTTATATATGGGCGGTTCTTTTACAAACCGAATACCTTTTATTGGGTCACATTTTTGATTTGCCTGAAACTTTTATTATACGTAATATCGAAAAAAAATTTTTTTTTAGTTAGAATTTTTTTAAGTTTTTAAAATCTGTATCTCCGGTCATATGAATCCGATTGACTTCATGTCTTTTGCATTAATTCCTCTAAAACCTCTTCTTTCAAAATAAAATTTCTAAAAAAAAGTTTTTAATTTCTTAAAAATAAAATCAAATTAAGATTTAACAAGAGAGAACGCTATAGTCGGGTTCGTGTCCCGACTATCTAATACCCGTCACTCAGCTAAAGGGAGTGGTAACGCTGTGTCGGGTTGGTGTCCCGACTAATAATCGTAACTCAGCTAAAGGGAGTGCGAGGGAGATAGATATATGTTGACAATTTATAAAGCGTATAACTTTTTAATGAATGGTCCGATTTGAAAAATGTCTTCTACATTTCGATAGGTATAAATATACACAACAAAATTGCATTTATACTTCTCGGAAATCTTTAAAGATGTGGGCGCAGGACCCATTTTAAAATCGTTAGTGGGCGATTGTGGGCGTTAGAGGGGGCGTGGCGCTCGGCTAAAATAAACTTGCGCTGCGTAGGAAGCCAAAGAATATGTGTGGGAAATCTCAACCTTCTAGCTTTTGTAGTTTCTGAGATCTCAGCGTTCATACAGACAGACAGACGGACAGACGGACAGACGGACAGACGGACAGACGGACATGGCTAGATCGACTCGGCTAGTGACCCTGATCAAGAATATATATACTTTATGGGGTCGGAAACGCTTCCTTCTAGCTGTTACATACTTTTGCACGAATCTAGTATACCCTTTTACTCTACGAGTAACGGGTATAAAAATAATGTTTAACCATTGCCCCCACAAAAAAAAATATTTTTTTTTATTTTAATACTTGCGCCATTTTGTTAGTTACAATCGGTTTTTGTAAAAAGTTGAAGCCACTTTTAGTTTTTAAATTATCGAATTTGTTTTAGCAAGGCCTCGACTTTTTCCTCATGGAATTCATGCTTTCTCATCGTTAATATTAATAAAAAGTCCTGTAATTTTTTCGTGAGGTTTTTTTTTTCTAAAAAGGTGGTGCGCAAATCAGCAAACCTATGAAGATGTGTTGAAAATAAAATCAAATAAAGATATACACGTATAAATGAGATCTTTATAAACAGTTTTTGGTACTTGGCGTTTTTTTATTTTGCGCCCTTTGAGGGTGACACCGTTTTTGCTCCAAGCGTACCTTGTAGGGTATTGTGACGAGCATTTTATATTGTATGGTGACAAATTTATTTTATTCAAGAATTTAAATTGTTATCGTTGATTTTGTGTAGAAAACTATAATATTATCAGATAACATTAAATGCTGTAGTTTTGTTGTAGTTATACCGTTACACGTAGAGTAAAGGGGTATATTGTATCGAGTCGATCTAGTCATGTCCGCCTGTCCGTCCGTCTGTCCGTCCGTTTGTCTGTCCGTTTCTACGCAAACTAGTCTCTCAGTTTTAAAGTTATCTCACTATGGGGAATTTGACCACTTTTTTTGGCCAATATTAATAACCAGCTCAATTTTAAAGATATCAAAATAAAACTTTAGCAATCGCATATTCTGCATGAATATCTTTTGGGTCTGACAACTATATCATATAGCTGCCATAGGAATGATCAGATAAACTTTGCTATTTTTAGAGATAAATGCATAAAACTTGATAAGTACTGTTCGTGAACGCTTGCAGCTTTAATCATCTCTAATATATAGGCGCATAATGCCATCTCTATTCTATTATATATACTTTAACTTATGTACAAGAAAACATGTATACATACAAAAAAATCTCTTTAGTTTCTGGCAACGCCGCTAATTCTGCGTCGATTTGCGAAATTGAATTCAGTATCGAATAGGCTTCGCAACTGGCAAGAATAAAAATTAATACAGTCCACGCACACGCAACTCAACTCGCCTTATTTCTGACCATATTGTTGGTCCTTCGTTCACGGATTCTTGGACAGTTAGTGAAGTGGTTTGATTCTCAGGATAATTTTTTGCTATGGAACAATTAAAAGCATTTATGAAGAGCCGTTCCAGGCTCAAGGCTAACATCACACGTTGTCTCTCATGGGCAGAGCAAGCGGAATCTGCAACACAGACAGAGATCACCACGCGCATACAACTTCTCCACGATGTTTGGAAGGAGTTCAACGAGTTCGGCGATGCCATTGCTGTCCACGAGGAAGTGGAAGGTTACGTCGATCCGGAGATCGATAATGCGATTTACGAAGAAAAGTACCTAAGGGCGATCGCAATTCTCAAGGACAGAAGTGATGCTCTACAACCGAGTACATCTACAGGCATTACGAATGGCAGCAACGGTCTGCATTCCAACAACGACGCAATTGTCAATTTGCTGCAACAAAACCAACAACTATTTGAGCGACTGGCTGCAAATCAGGCTAGCTCGAGCACGCCGAATTTAGGTTCGGTATTCGCGGCGAATTCTAATCAGAGCGAATTGCGAAAAATTCAAATCAAGCGGTTCTCTGCCAACTACACAGAGTGGCCCTCCTTTCAAGACATCTATGAAAACACAATTCATAACAAGCTGCATTTGTCCAACACACAGAAGTTCCACCACTTGAAAACACTTCTTGTTGATGAGACTGCCAACTTGGTACGGCACTTGGCCATTACGGAGACTGCTTACAACACTGCTTGGGAACGTCTTAAGGAGAGGTACAATCGTCCACGGCACATTGTAAACTCATTTTTGGAACAGTTTATGAGCCTACCAACAACTACAAAGGTAGATGCATCAATTCTACGGAAGGCGTCAGACGGAGCAAACGAAATTATTCGCGGATTGGATGCGGCCAACCAGATGGGACGCTATTGCTGGATCATCTATCTGGCCCTGGAGAAACTTGACGCTGACACGCGGCGCAGGTGGATTGAGCGCAGCATGGACACGGATTCCCCAACTCTCGAGGAATTCTTCAAGTTTCTGGATTCTCGTTGCGAGGAACTGGAGCTGAGTAAAAGGGAGCTTGCTACTGGTGGCAAAACAACAACACATGCAGAAAAACCAAAAAGGGTCACACAATCGATGGTTGCGGTTGAAAGCAGTGGCTGCACCAAATGTAATTCTACAGAACCTACTCTGTACAGCTGTCAGCAGTTCTTGGATATGTCCGGGATGCAGAGGCGATCCTTCGTGAAGGAGAAATCACTGTGCTACAACTGCTTGCGACCTGGTCATGGGGTCAGCAAGTGCAAGTCGACATACAAATGTAGGCAATGCAAGGGAAATCATCACTCCCTTCTTCATGTCCAAGCGAATCCACAGGCTATTGGGAATCTTGCCCAGATACCAAGGGAGGACGAGCGAAACACAAGCGCGTCCAACAACACATCTGTGACTCTCAGTCATTTCGCCCAAGGAGAGGGCACTCAATCAGTTGTATGTGCACAGGGCACTGCAAAATCTGCACAGGAATCGGAAGTTAAGCGAAGCATATTACCAACTGCCATGGTTTATGTTCAAAACGCAAAAGGTGACCACGTAACATGCCGTCTCTTATTGGACACGGGCTCAGAGCTTTCCTACGTATCCGAGCGTTGCATCCAAGCTCTCGGATTGACACGGTCGGCATCACGCATCTTGGTTACGGGAATCTCTTCGGTGAAAGCAGACACGACCAGGGGATGCAGCACCTTGCACATCAAGTCTCGTATCTCCGGGGATCAGTTGGTTGTCTACGCCCACGTGTTAGGCAGGATCACTTCTTCGCTGGAAAGGCAAAACATCGATGCATCGGCGCTCAAGGTTTTCAAGGATCTGCAGTTGGCGGATACTAAATTCAACACAAACTCACCTGTTGATATTCTATTGGGCAGCGAACACGTATGGTCAGTGTTTACTGGACGAAAGATGTACGATAACAAGGGTAATCTCATCGCCATTTCTTGGGTGTTCGGATGGGTAATAACTTCATCGAGTCCAAGCAACGCTATTGCACTGACTACAACAGTGGACATAGGCGCCACGCTTCAGAAGTTTGGGAACTAGAAAACGTTCAAAGCAGCGCAAAATTGGAACCGGAGGATGATCAAGTGGAGAAGCACTTTCTCGCCACTCACAGTCGCGATGAAAACGGGAAGTATATCGTGGAACTTCCATTTAACACTGAAAACCCCGAATTCGGAGAAACTCTACAAGGAGCGCTCAAACGCTTTAAATCGGTTGAGCGGCGACTGCAACAGAACGAGCAGCTACGTACACAGTACGTACATTTTATGAGGAAGTACACAAATCTGGGGCACATGCGAGAGGTGCCACCTGAGGAAAACTCTACTGGAAATCAGTTTTATCTACCACACCACCCAGTGCTAGGTCGGAAGCTACAGGTAGTTTTCGATGGATCATTTCGCGACGCCAATGGTAAGGCTTTAAATGACACCCTGTTTACAGGGCCCAGTATCCAGCGCGATCTATTCTCTGTGTGCCTTCGTTTTCCAATGTACAAATTTGCATTCTCAGCGGACATCGTAAAAATGTTCCGCCAGATATGGGTCAACGAAAAACACAGAAACTTCCAGAAAATCGTTTGGAGAGAAGATCCATCCGATCCCATCAAGCATTTCCAATTGTGCACGGTAACCTACCGCACCATTCCTGGCGGTGCGAGTGCTGGAACAACTTGCTATCGATCATCAAGAGGAATACCCAAATGCGTCGAAAATCCTGCTGGAGGATTTTTATGTCGATGACGTTCTTACTGGGTCAAACAGCGAGGATGAGCTACTTCGAAACCGAAACGAGCTGGTTCAGCTGATGTCTCGCGCCAACCTTGAACTCGGAAAATGGGTATCGAATACACCATGCATACAGACGAACGATGGCGACACACAATCTGCACAAACGTCATTAGTAAAGGTTCTCGGACTGTACTGGCATCCTGAAAAAGACATTCTAACGTACAATGTCGGTCTAGCTGCAAATCCTGATTGCTCAAAGAGACAAGTCTTGTCCGACGTCTCGAGGATATTTGATCCTCTCGGACTCTTGGCACCCATTGTCATTCAATTCAAAATCCTTTTCCAAAAGCTCTGGCTCTTGAATTTGGATTGGGATGACCCACTCCCAACTAAACTGGCGGACAACTGGCTGAAGTGGAGAGCAGATCTGGACACTCTTCAAAAATTCCGACTGCCACGATTAGTTCCCAACGACCCGGACAACATCGAGCTCCACGGATTTTCGGATGCTTCAACCAAGGCGTATGCTGCTGTGGTGTACAGCAGAGTTACAAATGACGACGAATCCATCTCGGTGTCCATTGTGGCTGCGAAAACAAGGGTGGCTCCACTAAAACAACCATCCTTGCCACGTCTGGAACTTTGCGCAGCCCTTCTCCTCAGCCAACTGATTCGCTCGATCACATCTGGATTACGCCACAAGAACATAACCGTTTTTGGCTGGTCCGACTCTTCAATAGTGCTCTCCTGGCTATCGTATGCGCCAGCCCAACTCAAGACATTTGTTGGAAACAGAACCTCGGAAATCCTTGACAGCATTCCAAGGAGTGCTTGGCGGCACGTAGATTCCAAAACAAACCCAGCTGACTGTGCGTCCAGGGGACTGATGGCTGCTGATCTCATCGACTTCCATTTGTGGTGGAATGGGCCTCAATGGCTACGGGACAATGATCAGTACCTGGTAAAGTTAAACGATTCACGGTTCGGTTTATCTCTTACAGACAAACGCATTCAAGGAGAAGTCAAATCCAACTGTTTGGCTACTTTGACAGAAGCAACACAGATTCATATACTTGATGAACTAATCGACCGAGTCTCTTCTTGGATTAAGCTCGTACGCATTGTCGGCTACGTGATGCGGTTTATTCAACGTACTCGAAGTCCATCTCGCGAAAAGATATCCAGAGCGCTCTTATTTGACGAGATCAAGGCGGGAAGGATTCTTTGCATAAAGCACGCACAAGGGTGTTTCCAAGACGATTACCAATTGCTCCTCGGTAAAAACCCCTCAAGAACCGATCACAGCTGGTCAAACTGGCACCCATAATGAAAACGATTTGCTAAGGGTAGGCGGACGACTGCACCACTCGCAGTTGTCAAGGGATGCAAAACACCCAGTTTTGCTACCGAAAGCACATCGCATCTCAAAGCTAATACTAGAACACGAGCACCGAGTGAACCTCCACCCTGGAGTTTCCTCACTTTTTGTTATTGTTCGGCAAAAATTCTGGATATTTGGAGCACGGAATCTAATTCGAAAGATAACACACGACTGTTTAGTTTGCTTTCGTCAACGCTCCCACACATCTCAGCAACAAATGGCTAATTTACCCAGCGTACGCATTACTCAAGCGCTTCCATTTATACACACTGGTTGCGACTATGCAGGTCCAATCCTTCTGAAGGATGCAAAGGTTCGGAAGCCACGTATCAGCAAGGGTTACATATGCCTATTTGTGTGCATGGTCACCTCGGCCATCCACCACTTGCAACAGACCTGACCTGACTTTCTTGGCTGCCTTGCGGCGCTTCATATCCTTACGTGGCAAGTGCAGTAAGATCTACAGTGACAATGGCACAAACTTTATTGGAGCTAAGCGATCCCTCGACGAGATGCAAGAATTGCTTTCTTCACAAACACACAAGGACACCGTTTCAAGCACACTAGCGGATGATGGTATCCAATGGGTACTTATTCCCCCAAGAGCCCCTCACTGGGGAGGGAAATGGGAGTCGGCAGTTCGTTGTGTCAAGCTACATCTGCGCAGAATCACCGGAAACTCAACGCTCACCCTTGAACAGATGCGCACGCTTCTTGCTCAAATAAGCGCAGTGATAAATTCACGCCCCTTGTGCCACACACCGGATACGGAAACCAACTACCTATCACCCGCTTACTTCTTAATCGGGCGACCTTTAACCACAGTGCCAGATCCCGATTTGAGCCACATCCCAGTGGGCCGATTAGGATATTGGCAAAGCATCCAGTCTATGCTTCAAGGATTCTGGAAGAAATGGCATCAGGAGTATCTGACTACTCTGCAGCAACGTCCAAAATGGACTACCTCAACACCCAACATCTCCACCGGTAACGTTGTGCTCGTAAAAGAGTCCAATTTACCACCGGCATCCTGGCACATCGCACGGGTTATGGAAACCTATCCAGGAAAGGACGACCTCGTTCGAGCAGTCAAACTGAAGACCCAGACAGGAGAGATGACCAGACCGATCACGAAAGTAGCTGTATTGTCCCATTCAGAAACGGTGTTTCAGGGCGGGCCGGGATGTTCGTGAACGCGTGCAGCTTTAATCATCTCTAATATATAGGCGCATAATGCCATCTCTATTCTATTCTATATACTTTAACTTATGTACAAGAAAACATGTACACATACAAAAAAATCTCTTTAGTTTCTGGCAACGCCGCTAATTCGGCGTCGTTTTGCGAAATTGAATTCAGTATCGAATAGGCTTCGCAACTGGCAAGAATAAAAATTAATACAGTCCACACACACGCAACTCAACTCGCCTTATTTCTGACCAAGTACCGTTTTAATACAGTATTAAAACCACATATAAAATTTTGTTAAAAATGGAAGAATATTTCTTTTAGTTTCATAGAACCGAAAATTCTCAAAGCTTACATGCCATTTCTTTTATTTTTTGATACAGTTATTGCTTTTTTTCTTTTTACAACCTCTTAAGTCCGTTTTTGTTCTCAAATGGTAGCGGTAAGTTTTTTTGCCTTACTTTAGAAGACATTTCAAATGTATGTCTATTGATATCTTTCTTCCACAGTGCAAGCAAATGGGCATTTGCAAAATTCGAGGTTATGATATAAAAAACTAAATTTCTCCAAGAATCGTAAAAAGTGTATTTTCTGACATTCATTTTAAAGAGAATTCCTTACTCTTTAATTCCCAAAGGTTTGATGGATGGACTCCGCTGGACTCGCTTTGTATCTCTTTTTAAAATTTGGTTTTCTTTAAAAATACTCGTGTTAGACCGGTCACAAAATAATCGATTACAAGAAAACCACGATTAATTTATATCACACAATTAATCACACAAATACTTAGTGCACACTACCATCCTTTGAATTAATTCAAAAAAACTCTACTCAAATTGCTTTAAGACTCTTATTTTCAGCAATTAAATAGTCTCAGCATTGCGTCAAATTTCTGAGGCGTGAAAATGCAACATACAGCAGCTGATCTAACAGCTGTAAGTTAGCAGAGGCGGCCTCTATTGAAATTCCTGAAACGTAACATTGAAGATTGGTCTTCTGTTAAAGAATTCTAGAAAACACATTTTTAGTTTAACGCCTTTAAAAAAATGGTGTATAGTGTATTAAATAGTGTATCGGCTTGAAACAAGTTTTTATCATTCTTGTCTAATATTCTAATATTATTATTATAAAAAATATATATTTTACTAATTCATTGGTTAGGTGGAGCATGCAGAGCCTCCGGACAGGATGCGTAGATGTGTGAAATTTTCCTTGCGCGAAAAGGGAGCTCATCAAGATAAAGTAAATACCTATAGTTTAATGCTCACTCGGTGCAGTTCCAGGGATTCCAGATTCAGGGTGTCTATTTTTTAGTTTTGCCACTGCAACAAAGTTGCCTGATAGAGAGACATAGCAGTGTCAAAAAATTCAGAGAAAAATTGGCTTACTTTGCTTGTTAATTGTGTGGTGTGAAAAAAGACTTTCATAAATCTGAAAATTGAATTTCCTTGCCAAGGTATTTGCTAACGTAAATTAGCTTAAACGTTTGCTTTTATGTGTCTTGTTGTCCAACTGTGAACTGTCTTATATGTGTATCTTTATAGATTTGAGCTAGCGATTGTGTTTGTGTTCGTGGAGTATAACTTCTCGTCCGTACTTTAATTTGCCTGCCGGGACAACGGAGCGATAAACAAAAAATGGTTTTCTCGTCCTTATGTTAGCGCAGGTAGCGACAAATTTTGTCTCGGTACTTCATCCACCGTGCAAAATTTGTGCGGTTGGATTGTGCGCAAGTGTTGCCA